GAGTGTCCTATACTGTTCTAAGGGGAGTGTTTATCTCTGCACTGTCGTGATTGGTTACTGTACTATTTTGTAATATTTACTACTGTAATTATTACTGTAATATTTTGTCCCAGTTTTCCACCAGGTCCCCTAGGGTCCACCTGGTGGGACACCTGCATAAAAGGTGGGCAGGTAGCCCAGATTAAACAGATTCCTGCTTGACCCTCAATACAGAGCCTTGTCTCGTACTTGGGGGGATTATTCGTATGGTTTTCCTGTTCGGCTGATTGGAGTGTTCAGTAGCTGCCTTTAAATTCGGGAAGGGAATATGCTAAACAGCTTTAACCCCTTCTATACTTGGGGTGCTGTTACAGTATTGATGTGGGAAATTTGCTGATAATAGTTGTGGAAGGGCTATTTTTGAACCGTGTCTCCTGGAGGCATACAACATCATTGTCTCTTTGTTTTAGGCCACTTTTTTGTACTGGGATACAGTGTGACTATAGATTCTCATGGTGGTAGATATGGGAAGTGTTTGTATGAAATCAGTTGGTTCACTTCTATTTGGAGGTGTCGCCCTCCCCAGCTTGTTCAAGCCGGGCTGACCCCTCCCCTTGATCTCCTCTCTGGTCTATTTGTGTATCCAAGAGTTCTCAATGGGATACCGGGAAATTTCACGGTGGGCCACGGCACCTGGAGCAGGAGTCCCTGCTTCCCCAACAACCATTCTCCAGGAGCTTCAAGGGATGTTGAGGTAAAAAGCAGGTCAGTGTGTCTGTGTGTGACTGCCTGTGAGTGTGTGCTTGTCTGCCTGTGTGTGTGTGACTGTGTGTGTGTGACTGTCTGCCTGTGAGTGTGTGACTGTTTTGTTAACTATGTTCCCAGCTGCCTTGAGATCATTAACAAGATTATCCTGTGTAGTTCTGGGCTGATTCCTCACTGTTCTCATGATCATTGAAACTACACGAGGTGAGGTTGTGCAAGGAGCACCAAACCAAGGGAGACTGACCATTATTTTGTGTTTTTTCCATTTGCGAATAATTGCACCAACTGTTGTCACCTTCTCACCAAGCTGCTTGGCGATGGTCTTGTAGCCCATGCCAGCCTTGTTTAGGTCTACAATCTTGTTCCTAACATCTTTGGACAGCTCTTTGGTCTTGGCCATGGCAGGAGAGTTTGAATCTGATTGATTGCTTCTGTGGACAGGTGTATTTTATACAGGTACCAAGCTGAGATTAGGAGCACTCCCTTTAAGAGAGTGCTCCTAATCTTAGCTTGTTACCTGTATAAAATACACCTGGGAGCCAAAAATCTTCCCGATTGATAGGGGATCAAATACTTATTTCACTCATTGACATGCAAATCAATGTATAACTTTTTTGACATGCGTTTTTCTGGATTTATTTATTCTTGTTATTCTGTCTCTCACTGTTAAAATACACTTACCATTAAAATTATAGACTGATCATTTCTTTGTCAGTGGAGAAACGTTCAAAATCAGCAGGGGACCAAATACGTTTTTCCCTCACTGTATCTGTTTGCCAGGTGCTCTCAGTTCTGTTGCAGTGTGCTCTCACCAGCCCTCCAGCACACTCAGAGGGCATTAAGGTAAGACTTTTTTTTGTCTCATGGTTTCTTGCCTGAAATGTTTTTTTTCTTATTCCTCACTGGTTTGTTTTCAGTATGTCTGTACTTGAACCAGCAGTAAAATTTGCTGAGAGGGAAAATGTATTTCCAATTCAGTGCATTTCATCTGTTCCTCCTATGTGCAGCACAGTCAGATGGCTATAAGAAGGTTCTAAGTAAGCTTCTAAGAAGCTGGGAAGGCTTAAAGAGACACTTCACTGTTTAGATACAAAAAACATAATTCGCTGTTTAGTGCATAGACCCCACCCAGACCTTAAGTGTCTGTTAAATCAATATGAAATCTTTGCAAGGTAGGTGATCTGTCAATTGCTGCCCTTTAATCTCAGTGCTAAAGATAACCAGACCAGGAAGTACCACACCTGTTGTCTGCTTGAAAAGCAAGTGAGAGTAACAAGTATAAATTACAAGTGTCAATTTCTTTTAATAGGGGTCTGGAGTGTCCCTTTAAGCATCCTCCTTCCTAGCATGGTTCCTAATCAGTTCAAATCAAACATTTTTGTGCAAAAGATCAGCTGTCATGCAATCACACAGTTATCACTACAGTCTGAACCAACAAACATGTCTGAGACTGAGATTTCTCCAATTTGTAATGAAGGCATACACATTTTGAGGTTACAGATATGAATTCTGAGTCTTCATTTGGTGAACCTGTCACTGAAGATTCCAGTTTTTTTTTTCCTTTTAGAGTCTAGTTGTGCAAGGCCTTCTGGAATAGGAAGATGCCTATATAGGTTTTTTTCAATGCACCATATTCTAAAAGATCTTGTTCTTAGGAAATAGAAGTATCATCTTCTCTATTAAAAAATAATGTTCTTTTAGTTGCCTTTAGGATTCCAGGGCCAAATCAGAATCTTCTTTGAGAAAGCAGTTTTCTACTACAGCAGCACAGAGTTAAGCTCTTTTGCAAGAAGGCGCAATGATTTTGGCTTGATGCCCTAGAGAAGATTTATTTGTATGAATTCAAAGAATTTCCTGTTCATCTGTTGCAGAATATCAGAATGGCATCTGACCTACTGGCAGTTTCTTCATCAGAAACTTTAAATCTTTCCGCTAAGAGTCGCTCCAATGTAGCAAGTAAGACAGAGTGGTTCAGCAGTTTCTAAAAACTCCCTTTGTGATATACCTTTTGAACAGGGAAGATTGTTTGGGTCACATTTAGATGACTTGCTTAAACAGACAGCAGAAGGGAAGAAATTTTTTACCAGAAGAATGAGGTAAGTAAAAGTGGAACAAAACTTTCTTCTACAGAAACAGAGCCTCTGATGGAGATTGGTTAAGTAGGCCCACTGCTTGAAGAATCAATAGACATCTGTTTGACTTTAAGAACAAGGGGGAAAGAAACTTATCTGAGTAAAAGGATCATAGACTATGATTCCATTCAAGGTGGGATAAAGGCTTCTATGTTTTTTCACAAACTGGTACAACACCTTCACAAACACCTGGGTCCTATCTTTTATGCAAAAATGCTACTGATTAAAGTCAAGCGACCTACCTCCAATTGGTTTTCTGTGCGTAACCATTCATTTTCGTTGTATGGCCTCAGTACTTTTCAGTGAAATCCAGGTGAAATTATGGAAAAAGGTACTAGCAACTCTACTAAATGAAGAACAGTTTATGGGGACCTATTCAAGGCTTTTCTTGGCTCAGAAACCAGATGGCACATATAGGCCCTATTCTCCATGTAAGAACAGATTTATAGTCATAAAGAAGTGTTGCAGGGAAATCTTACTTTCTGCCGCTTATCTGTGTATATATATTTCAGAAGGATTTTCACCATTTTTTTTTTTTCCTGGGACATGGGTACGTCTCTCTAAACCAGTTGATGAGACTAGAGCCTTTGCCAATACTGAGTTTCTTATGGTGTACAACATCTTAATTCCTTACAGAAGATCTTTCTTTTCAATTTTACAGTTTTCTGATAATCGCAAGGACCCTTTCATATTTGGCTGGGGAGCTCATCTGTGTACCCAGTTGACAGAAAGACCGTGTACCCAGTTGACAGAAAGGCATCAGGATTCAAATAAATCCAACCCAGGGAGCTGATTTGGTTAGTACTTCTGTCCTTCAGGCTATGTCTCCAGGGACAACATGTGTAGTTAAGAATGGACAATTCAACACCAGTTGTGAATATGTACCAACAGGGAGGGACTCGTTCTATGCTCCTGAAACAGTTTTACACTAGGATCATTATCTGGTCAGTCCTTCATCTGCCATCAAATGCTAAGGTCCACATAAAAGGAAAATCCAATATGCCAAGCTGACGCTCTCAGCTCTCTTCTTAAACAAGAAGACTGGTAGAGAGATTTAGAAGATCGGAGATAGATTTGTTGGCTTCAAACAGCAAAGTAAAAGATCTACAGAATTTTTTTGTCAATTTAGCAGTAAACAAATATTGTTTTTTTGTTTGTTTTTTTGTGGGGGCACTGGCTGGGCTATGGGTTTTTTTTTATCTGGCATACATTTTTCCCCAATTGTGCTGATTCCACAAACTTTACTTATTGGACAGATCAAGAATGCGTGTTGTTCTTCAATTGTGGCCTCAGAGAATCTGGTTTTGATTCTGCTAAACCTATCAAAATAAGGATTTTGGCAGGTTCCAGTGTAAGATAAGAGTTTGGAATTCAACCTGGTCCCTCTTCAGACTCTGCACAGGTTCAATCTTACAACTTGATATCTGAACACCATATACTGAGTTCTAAAAGGGCTGAGTATGGAAGTCATTGACACATTCATTGCAGCTAAGAAGAATTCCTCCTATACAGTATACTCCAGTATATGAAAATAATTCTACTCCTGGTGTTTTGGTGTTAAGGAAGACCCTCTGTCAACCTTGATTCCTAATATCCTAAAATTCCTGCATTTAGGATTTGCTAATTACCAGCATCTCTGAAAATTCTATTTCTGCTTTAAGCTTTAAGAGAGCACTGAAACCACAATGGATTACAACAGGAAAAAGAACACTAATTTCACTCTGGCACCAAGACGAAATGCCAAACTGTACAGTTACATTGAAAGTTTCCGTCTAAGAACAGTATCAATGACAACCAAGCAAAACCAAAAGAAAATGTTTCATACTCTCTTAGTACAGGAACAAATGGCTATAAATGACTTGAAAAATAATCATGCTATGACCATCAAACCAGCAGACAAGTGAGGAGCAGTAAGGATAATGAACACCCGGGACTACATAAAAGAGGGTGACAGGCAATTGACAGATGACAAATACTATAGAAAACTAAATGAAGACCCCACCAAGGAATAGACATTACAACTTAGGGAGCTCATTAAATCCTTCTCTGAGAATTTGCATCTAGAACTACAATCACTCATACCAACTAGTCCCTGCATGGGCACTTTCTATATACTTCCCAAAGTCCACAAATCAGGTAATGCTGGAAGACCCATAATTACAGGAATGGAAACTCTCACAGAACAGATCTCAGGACTGGTAGAAAATACCCTAAAACCTCTATTCACCAACATTAACAGCTTCATAAAAGACACAACCGACTTCCTCAACAAACTCAGCCAAATCACAGATCTCCCTGTTAACACCATCCTTGTAACCATGGATGTGGAATCTCTGTACAGCAACATTCCACATACAGATGGCATCAATGCTTGATTCCATTTCCTCTCTTATGCCGACAACCAAAAATATAGCCCCCGGGCTAAAAGAAAAAAAAAACGCAAAATAGATAGTAATAAGAAGAGAAGATTTTACAGTGTATATATTTTATGTGCCCTCTCTCCCCCTTCTTCCCTCCTTCTTCTTTAGAAGGAAATTATACATTATATTATGGAAAATAATAGGCCCAAGGACTCTTCTCAAAAAATATCAGACTTCCCTCATTATATAAGCCATTACAAAAGATTAACATAAGATTTGAGAAAATTGAAATGAAGTATAAATTGGAATATAATACAGTGTTACAGGACTCTATAGAACAACTGACTACACGATTTTAAGAGTAATCTGGGACTGTCAGGAACTCTTGCTTTTTTTTTGTTTTTTGCACAAAATTAATGAATAAGTAATAATAAAGGAGAAAAGGGAAAGAAAGAGAAAAGGGGAGATATGGTTTATAATTTAAGAATAAATATACAGTCCATTCTGCATCTCTTGAACACAACAAAAAGTGGGGGGTTGCTATATTGATATCCAGAAATCTGAATTTCAGGAATATATATACAGAACTAGATACCGAGGGAAGATATATTATAGTAGTTTGTGAGATTGATAGCATCATATATACAATGGCTCATCTTTATGCACCAAACCATTCTTCATTACCATTTATAACCAAAGTCCTAAAAAGGATGGATATGGTTAAACAAAGAATCCCGGTGATTCTAGGTGATCTTAATTTAGTACTTGAGCCACTGCTAGACAAAAAAAAACATCCCAGGACAGATATCAGATAGAGGAATTTTCAACCGTTCTGAAAAATTCAGACAGTTAATAAAAGATCATTTATTAGATATTTGGCGTATTTTTCATTGAACAGACTTAGACTTTACTTGTTTTTCAAAATCTTATTGTGCATATTCCCACATAGACTGTGTGTTGGGGGATATCAATTTAGCACAACAAACAAAAACAATTATAATAAATGAGATTACATGGTTAGATCAAAATGCAGTCATTTTGGATGTTAAAGACACCTTTGAAATTCCAAGACCAGAATGGAGGTTAAATAACAATATTCTGTCAAACAAAAAGAACATAGAATTTATTAAGAAACAGACAGATTATTATTTTAAAGAGAATCAATCTGAACAGATCTCCCCCTCAGGAATATGGTGCTCATATAAAGCGGTGATTAGGGGATTATTGATTAAACTAGCCTCTGAGAATAGAGATTATAGAGAAAGAGATTTAACTAGTGTTACGGACATTCCACAGACCCGTATTGGATTACCCTATGTTAAATTACCGAAGTCGGTTCTTTCGGTATTATTGTTACCTATACTCCATTTTCACGAAAAACTAGGATTACATATTCGTGCATACGAACTCAGACCACCCGGCCCCTGGTGTGTGCCGCCACTTAACCCTGTTGACCTCGGAAATAACCGAACGGACGACCACTGGGAAGCTGCGGTTTGCGGTTAACCACAACCTTAATTGACTGCCTCAGGGTGGCCTCGTTCGGCAACTATTTTCACCATATTCAAACGAGGACCACCTACACCATGGCGTGTGTCTGCACTTAGAACGTTGAGGCTGCGGTTAACCGCAGGCTAATTGACCCCCTCAGGGCGATCTACATTTGGTACACGAAGGGTTGGGACAACCAGCCAGAGAGCGGTAGTCGTACAGGATGCTACCCGTGTTTCGCTCCAGTGGTTTTGAAGCCGAGACCCGCTCGCCTATTCGTGGATAGAAAAGATGGCCGCCATCTCGTGTTTGGGACAAAGAAACACAAAAAGACTTATATACAAGAGCTGGCTATACCGTTCGTGAGGTCTGAGTGCTATTCGTCTATATGATGCGCTCAGACCCGAGCTATTTAATGAATGGTAGAATGTAAGGGGTATTTAGTAAACTGTTATAAATATATATTTTATGCTGTTTTTACATGTTGGAAATACACGTGGGACTCTGGGCACTTGGAGATAATTGAATTGCCATAATCGTTGGGATCATTATCTCCAAGCGGGGCGGGGACTATTTCAAATGATACAGTCTATTGTCATTGGTCAACTATGTGTATTGTCCCGGTATCCCATCAGGTCCAGAGGGGGCTGTCCCTGGAACTGGGATTTTGCATAAATAACGCTGTCCCTGTGCCATTAAAGCCAGTTTGTGTTTGACCCTCAAATCGCAGCCTTGACTCGTTTTGTGGGAACCAGGGTATCCTAGGTAGACTAGAGTTAGTGGGATTGCTTTATATTCACAGGAGTCTGGTGGTCTGCTGAACAGAACAGCGCTCCTCACTCTCCACATTTGGAAACCAGGACATCCAAGCGGTCCAGCCTTCAGCTAGCTTGGAGGTAACCATAACAACTAGCTTGCAAATTCAATTATATAATCTCTCAAGAGATAATAAAATAGCCTTTAACAAACAGTGGTCGAACAGAATTTCTCTTCTACACGATAGAATTAATGAATTATTAATAATGAAAGTAAGTAAAACACTTGAAAGATTAAAAGCAACTTTCTACTATAGAGGCAATAGAGCAGATAGATTGTTAACCAACAGACTTAAGAAAGAAATTAAACAAAAAAAAACTCCAAAATTTTATATAAAGGTGAGACCTGCTTATCTCCAGAGAGATTAGAAAAGGCCTTTAATGATTACTATTATTCTTTATATAATCTACCTCATAATCAATTCGACCCAAAAGATTATTTTAAAGATAAGATAATACCAAAGATCTCAGAATCCCGACTAAGAGAACTGAATGCCCCAATTTCTCTACATGAAATATACAAACGGATAGAGACTCTGAAACCAAATAAAGCACCAGGGCCAGATGGATTTACAGAGACTTTCTATAGATTATTTTTAAATGAAATATCACCATATTTAGAGACTACTTTCAACAAATTTATATTAAAGACTAAAATCCCACAGGAAATGCTTAAGGGCAATATTGTCCCAATATTAAAACCAGGTAAAAATCCAGAGAAAGTAGATAGCTATTGCCGATCTCTCTCTTAAATATAGACATCAAGGTATATGCAGGAATATTGGCAGACAGAGTGAAACGGGTAGTTAGTCATATAATACACAGAGACCAGGTGGGATTTATTCCGGGACGACTCTCAACTAATCATATAAAAACATGATAGGGATACTGGAACAGGCTAGAGAGGAATGTATTCCCAAGCTGGGCTTTTGTCAGAGAGTCCTTAGTATCATTTGGATTCTCGGATCAGATACTCAGTGCCATAATGGCCCTATACAGCAATCCCCAAGGTAGAACCGTGGGTCACGGAATTAAGTCCAAATGGTTTGGAATTTCAAATGGTACTTGACAGGGCTGTCCTTTATAACCATTATTGTACATATTATCGATCAAATCTCTGGCAGTAGATATAAGATATAATCAGGGCATAAAAGGACTTGGAGAAAATAATAACCAAAAAATCAAGCTATATGCTGATGATGTATTAATAACTATCCAGAAACCTAAGGATTCCATTGATCAAGTGGGTGAGACTATTAGAAATTATAGCAACTTTTCTAATTATAAAATAAATAATGAAAAATCTACAGCGTTATATTTAAATACACCTCAAAATAATATTGATAGTATAGAAAATAAATATGGATTTAAACAAGTTAAAAGCTACTTTAATCTGGGTATAAAAATTTCCAAAAATCCAAAGAAATGGATAGAGAATAATATCCTCCCTTTAATTAAAGAAACAGATCTTAACCTAAAGAAATAGAAAACGCTGAAAATCTCCTGGTCAGGGAAAATAAATACACTAAAAGCATATATTGTACCAAAATTCTCGTATATTATGAGAATGATTCCTATAAAGATTCCAGACAGCTTACTAGAATTAATCCAAACATCATTTACTAAATTTATCTGGGCAGGCAAAAAACCAAGAATTAAAAAAGATATTATGTCTAGGAAAAAAGATGAAGGAGGTATGAGTATTCCAATTATCCAAGACTTTGCACAAGCTAATTTATTAGCGCATGTCTTAGTGATAAATAAGGAAGACTCTATAAGTGAAAATTGGTATAAAAGAGAACAGATTCTGACCTTGGGAGATAGGGATTACAGAACCCTTATGTGGGCAATAGCAAATCAATGTATTAAAAATTCTAAATCTTTGATAGTTCAACAAAATTTTCCCACCTGGTCTCTTTAAAAAAAAAAAAAAAAAATGGTCTAAAAAAAGAAGATAATGCTTGGCATAAATCTAAGTACATTGTCAGGTCTAATTACCGATATAAATTTGGGAACCTGGACTCTGCGAGGTATAAAAATATCTAATCTCTTGATAGGAAACAGAGTAAAATCTTATGAACAACTCCAAACTGAATATAATATAACTCCCAATGAGTGGTCCAATTATATTAGGGTAAAATCCTTTCTAAATACATGCCTAAGACGTAACCCTCTTGAACCCTCAGTTAAGCTTCTTTCAGATATATACGCGCAGTCAGACTATACTCACTTGGCTAATACATGTAAAAAAATTATCTACAAGACTCAGATTAAATCAATCCCCCTGGCAATTACTAAATGGGATCATGACCTGGCAAAGGACATAACTATGAAAGAATGGAACAATTCGCTTAACACGCTATACAAAGTTTGCCATTGCTTAAATATACACAAAACTCATTACAAAATACTAAACAGATGGTATAGAACTCCTTACAAAATAGCAAACATTTATTCTATAGCCCCACCTAACTGTTGAAGATGTAATGAATTAATTGCAGACTTCAAACATATCTGGTGGGATTGTCCAAAAATTAGACCCTTATGGGAGGAACTAAACCAATACTTATCATCTTTATTGGAAACAAAGATTAATCTAACTCAAAGTATGGATCTATTACATATGGATATGACGGGGATCAATAAAGAATTCAGATATATTATTTTTCACATCTTATTGGCTGTGAAAACAACAATAGCCAGGAATTGGAAATCTCGTAAGGTAGACAACTGGTCTAAGATCCATGCCCAAAGCATTATTCAATGTAAAATGGAAAGGGCCATTACTAATTTTGCACCATAAAAGGGACATCATTACACCTACTGGGATAAATGGATAAAGAAATTAGACCCCGGATAATGAGGTTTTCTTCTTTGTCTTTTCATTTCCTAGTGGATTTTTCCTGTTTTTTTTTTTTGTTTTTTTTTCTAGCCGTATGTTTTCCCTCCGCTTAGGAAAATATGCGATCCCCTTCCTTCGAGCCTGGTATGCAAATTTATCTCCTTCTTTTTTTTCTGTTGCACCGCGAACCAAGCAAATGTCTGTCTGTCAGTTTATGTATTTGATTGTTTAATAAAATTGTAACAGTGTTAAGTTAAAAAAAAAAAAAAAGAAACAGAGAGTATGTAGATAAGTGACAGAGAGAGAAAGAGAAATTGAACAATACATATGATGATTTAGTATTTGATAATTTCACTTATGACTACTCAGGAAATGAAACCACAAATAAAATTCTCTGATGTAAAAAAGAAGAATAAAAAAAATAAAAATACAGCCCCTGAATTATCACAGAACTGGCACTATTTATCCTCACACATAACTATCTCAGTTGTAATGAGATTTGCCTGCAAACCACAGGCACCACTATGGGCACTAAGATGGCACCCCAATATGCTAGTCTGTTTATGGCAGATCTTGAACAGCGATTCCTAGAAATGCAGCACACCAAACCATACAACCATTATCGCTATATCGATGATATTTTCATTATTT